GTCAGTGAGGGGGAAGGGAAGGTGGCCAGCACCCGATGGGCAGCCAGGGATGAAGAACTCCTGCTTGGGACAACACCTCCAGGGTCCACAGAGACAGCAGTGCTGTGAGAGTGTGATTTCAAGACGGGGAAGGCGCTCAGATTTGGGACCTGCAGCACTACCCCCAGCCTGATGCCCTGTGGAAGGGGATGGAGACTCTTTCTCTGCTCCATTCCAGTGGGGCAGGAACCCCCAGGGTCAGGCCTTCAGGAGTGTGCCAGGAGAGCCCTTCCTGCTTCACAGTCATCCAGTGCAGGGCCACTGCCACGCCTGCCCCAAACCATCATGTCCCCAACTGAGGGTCTCTGAAAGCAACATGGCCCTGCCTCCTGCCTGCACGTGGGTTTGTCCTTAAAAATAGACACAGATGCTTCAGGTCTACCAACAGCCACCTGCTGCAGGTGGATCCTGCTCCAGGGTCTCTGGTCTTTCAATGCCACACCCAAGCTCTGGAAGCCTGTGGCTTATTAACCCCTTAGTTTTCTCAATGAAAAAAAAGAGAGAACATAATAACAGGGACCAGGGTGATGCCCAGAGCATGCCAGTCCTTGGCAGAGGGGGGTGCCAGCCGGGGTTTGGATCCACCACACCCCCAGCACAGCACACTGGGGTCTGACCCCCTGCTGGGCACCTCCACCCCTGCTGCTCATCCCAACTGGAGGCTCCAGGTGTGGGAGGCCGGCTGCTCCTTCAGAATCCCAGAGGGAGGGAGGGATGACAGCTGGGGACTCTGAATGCTCCCCACACAGGAGAGGCACCTGGCCTTCACCAGTCCCAGGAACCCAAAGCGCCAGGCCAAGTGCACTGCAGGACAGCCAGCACCCCTGCCCCCTGCCATCATACCAGGACCCCTTCCCACGCCGTGTCCTGGCCAGGCTGACACTGAATAGTCAAAGCCAGACGTCGTTGCCAGCAAGCAGATGGGACTGAGTCAGGGGTGGGGACAGTCAGCTCCCATATTCCCAGCACAGGTCTTTTTGCCCCGCGCAGTGGAGCCTCAGGTACTGACAGCCCACGCATGGCACAGCCCAGAGAGCAGGTGGGGCCTCCCAGGCTGCAAACTGGCCTCCCCTGCTGTGCGGTGGGATCTGCGCCTTGAGGAGGGGTCCTGGCAGGTTCCAGAGTGGAGCTCGGGTACTGCCCTTCCCCGCCGGGGTTTTCATTCCCCAGTGCAGGAGAGGCGCGCGCAGCAGACGGGTGGGAACAGGAAGGAAGGAACCAACACTCCAAGCCAGCAGGGACTGCGTCCCACTCCCTTAGGCTAGCAGCACCTCTCCCCAGAGCCCACACTCCATCCCACCCTGGTGGGACTACCTGCATTCCCTCAGGCTTCTACGAATCTTCCTGCTTCTGCCTTCCCAGTATCTCGGGACCCCTCGCTTCTCAGGCGGATACTTCCCATTGCCCCAGGGTGCCCAGGACTCTATTCAGAGCACAGGGGATCAGGAAGGTAGGTGGCAGCCCCAACCCAGGAGGACCCAGAGCCTCTAGCATCCTTGGGCTCCGCTGCCCTTGAATCCTGTTGGGTTGGGTCTGGTAGGTGGGGCCCCCACACCCACTGCTGCTTCCCTTCAGTCTGGTTGACTGAGGGCTTTTGCTGCACACCAGGCAGACGAGTATGCAGATGTTACACAGAAAAACAAAACCTCACTGAGTCCAGGTCTAACTCAGAGACTGGTGCCAATCCCCCACCCCCACTCCCACCCCCATCCTACCCTAACCCCATGCTGTGTCAGGAAGAGGCGGCACCCCAGCTGCAACTACTGCCCACTGAGTACCCTAAGAGGAGTTCTAGCCAACTCTAACCAAGGCTCCGCCTTCCTGCTAGGTCTCTACAAGTGCACAGATGGGAGAGGCAGGACCACCAAGGACCCCCCCCCCAGGTGCTATGCTGGCCTCATTTTATTAGGGAAGGCCAGAGGGACAACCACACAGAACAGCCCACAGGGTGGGGAACTGGGAGTGGGAGGACTGTCTCTACTTAGGAGACTCAAACTGTCTTCATTTAAAGAGGCTGGAGTGCTGGGACACAGTGCTGACCTGCACCTAATTACCTGCTGCGGTGACCCCCAACAGGGAGCAAATCTGACAGCTGTCCCAGCAGGGGCAGAACCCTGCAGGTGCTCTCCGCAGGCTCCACTCTCCCAGATGTGGCTGCCCTACTGTGCTCCCTGGAGAGTGGAGAAGGCTGCACCCTGCAGAGCTGGGAGGTCCTGTGCCCCTCATGCCCCTCACTGTGTCCAGGCAGCAGGGGCTTGCTCAGCCTTACTTGGGCAACTCTGGGTAAATCCTTCCCCCAGGTGGGGCTCAGTCTCCCCACGTCAAGTTGTCTCCTGGATTAGGCAGCTTAAATGGTTGCTGGCACTTGCTGCTCATCCCCCAGTGCAACGCACCTCCTTCCATTGTGTTCAGCTGATCTATGCCTTAGTCTCCTCTTCTGAAGAATGGGCACAATAATGATCCCTCCCACTCAGGACCAACTTACCCTGCCTACACCAACCTCAGTGAGCCTGTGGTCAACTGCAGGGCAGGAACATGCTCAGGTGCAGGCTCAGACTTGCTGGCATCTCAGAAACCTTCCAATCAGGTGGGGAGTGTGGGGGGAGCAGCCTCAGGAGGACCCCCACTCTGCTGGAGGGCTTGCACTCCCTGGGCCAGTCCAGGTCTGAGTTCATCTCCTGACCCCTGGCACCCACAAGGACCTGCTCCTTTGCCACTGCTGGGGTGGCAGTGCCCACTGTCTGCTGTCTTTCCAACCCCATGTCCTCTGGATACTGTCTACGCTCACATCAGAACTGACTGATGCCCATTCTCTTCAAGTCGCAGTGTTACTCGGATCCAATTCAAGCATGGCCTCTTCTGAGACCCCTCTGCAAACACAGATCACTGATGTGTTTATTGCCTGCCTCACCCCACATCCCAACATCCCAAGTGACTCACTGGGACCTAAAATGCCCACAGCACTTAGCAGATGCTCACTACAGGTTGGCTGACTGAAGGGAGGTATCCAGGCTGGCAAATGCACTTTGTAAGGCAGAGCCGACCTTGATGGGTGTGTGCCCAGGCCAGACTGGGGGAGCCAAGAAATCCCTGCCCTGCTTTGCAAGAGAAAAGACGGCGAGGTGGGTGGAGGAAGGGTGGTGGGAGGGGACCCTCAACACCATTCTGAGCTCTGTCCTGCCCTCTTCTCTCTGCTCAGGGTCCTTCTCCCAGCTCCCCATTTGGGCGCAGTGGGCGGCTTCCTCCCACTGCAGCTGTTCCCGCAGCGCTGGCCTGGGGGGGGGGGTGGTGAGCGAACCGCAGACCCGTCGCAAAGCTGCCAGTTGGGGTGTTTGCTTTGGTCTGGGGCTTCGACAGGCTCCAAGGGCACCTGCACTGTGGGCCACTTGCCGCTCAGGTGGCCCTCTTAGACCCTTTTACCCCGGCGGAGACTGAGGCTCTGAGGATGTGCCAGAGGCTCGGATACACGGCAAGGGTCGCCTACGGAAGGCGGCGGCGGGGAGAGCTCCAGGCCCCGAGTGCGCGCAGCGCCCAGGGGCAGACGGAGCAGGCCCGCCCCGCTCCCGCCGCGGAGTCTCGAGGACCGCGGAGGAGGAACGCGCGGACCTCTGCACGCCCAGAGCTTTCCCGGCGGAAAACCCTACGCCTCTTCCTCTGCGCGTCCGTCGGTCCCCCCGGCTCACAGCGCTGCCTTCCCCGGTTTTATTCTGTTTTGTTGGTTTCTTGGAGCTTGGGTTTGTTCTCCCCAGCAGAGGACACTTATGGCCGCGCCTTCCCTCCCCTTCCTGGAATAGGTGAGCCACCGGGCTCCAGGAAACGCCTCCCCCCCATCCCTGTAGCAGAGCGCTAGCTAGTGGCGCCGGGCGACTGCTGACCCGGCGCACCTGCGAGGACACAGGCACCAACAGCGCGAGAGGTGCGGGCACGAGCCGCGACGGGAAGCGTCTGAGCGCCCAGCGCTTGGGTCGGGGCCACCTGCTCAGGAATGAGGGCCTGTCGGCAGGAAACCCGCACTCCATCCCACCCCGCGGCTGGTCCCAGACCAGAAAGAGCAGGCGCCAGCGGGAGCCAGCAGACTGGGTGCAGAGTCCAGAGCTATGATGCGGATCAGGAGTTTAGAAGGGCACCACATGGGGAGTCTCGCAAACCGAGCGGCTCTCCGCCTGTCCCCTGGCCCCAGCGCCCGTGCTCCCTTCTTATCGCAGTTTTGTCCAGAGGCTACCGGCCTCGAGGTCCCCGCAGCTGCCGTGGACCCGCTTCCCTCCAGTTCCTGACCCCGGTTCTTAAGAACCAGTCACAACCAAGGGGCTGGGTATGCCTTTGAGGCCCTTCCTGAGCAAGAACCTGAAACTTCCTGTCCCTAGAATGAGTGTCCCCTTTCCTGGGCTCCCCTCCAGTCCTCCGCCCCCCACCCCCACCCCCACCCCCTGCCCGGGACCTCCCTGAGTTCCCTGCATCAGAGCCTCAGCCGCCCAAGTGACGAACCAGGGCTTCGGGTGCAGGCCTGTGCTCCTGCCTGTCCCCCGGGACTCAGGCAGACTACCGTCCTTAAAATGGCCCTCGACGCCTTCCTGCCCATCACAACCTAGAACCCCTGAGTGGCAAAGGCGACCGAGGCGAGTCTGGGAAGGCTGCCTCCGCATTGGGGTCGGGAACCCAGCCTTGGGCGCAGATCTACCCACATGGCCTGGACGCCACCTCGCTGAGCCTGCGCTCCCCCGGGACATGGTCAGGGAGGGCACCGTGCCTGTTGTTTATCCAAAGGGTACCGGCACGGCCTTGACCCTGGGCGCCGGGCCAGGGCTGCTGCTCCTCCCCACCCGTTTGAGTTCCCTGAGCGAAGCTGCCAGCTGCCCGCGGCTGCGCGGATGCCGAGGGCTGGGGTCCGCACGGGACTATGGGCCCTCGCCCCCGGGGCCTCCCAGGCTCTGCTCTGCATCCGCCGCCAACGCCCGCCTTACCGCGGCCTGCCCAGGCCCTGCGCTCCTGCTTCCCCGCGCTTCTCTTGGGTCCTCCTCATCGCTGGGCCTCGCGGCCGGGGGGAGGCCCACCCGAGCCTCCCGACGGCGCTTCTGCTCGGGAGGATTATCTCCCCTCCCCCGCCAGGCCCCGGCGGGGGCACCGGCTCGCCCCAAAGCCCGAGGCCCCGCCCCTCCAGCGCCGACTGCTTGCTTAACCTTCTCGCCAGGCGGTGACCCTGAGCCCTGCAGGCGCTGTCAAGGGGGTCGGATGCGGCCGAGGGGCGACTCAGGGGTCAGGTGACTGGTGACTGCAGGAGACCCTCCTCCCTGTTCCCCATCCTGTGCGGCTTAGGAGACTTAGAAGTTTAACCAGACTTGGGCCTGATTAAACCTGGGGGGATGAGCGACCTTCAGCAGTGTCCTTGACTCTGTGGGCTTTGACATCTGGAGACTGAGCCCCCCTCCTCTGTCCTCCCACCCCGCCCCTCTTCCCTGGGCTGCCTAGCTCCTAGACATGATCTGTGTGGCCCACTGCAGAATGAAAATGGGGTCCTTTGCTCAAGTACTGTGACTTCAGGGCAAATGGGCGGGGTCCCCACTCACCCGCCAGAGTCCCACCTGGGCCCTTGCTCAGGCCACTCTTCTCTGGGATTCCCAGTCCTGGGGCTCTGTACAAGGCAGCCCCGTGGTAAAGGCCGGGTCCCCAGGGCCCCTGGAGGAACTGAATGGCTCCGCCCAGCAGGGCTCCCCATTCTCAGGGGCTGCAGGTGGGGAGACTGGGGTCAGCGGGAGGGGCCTGGCCCCATGGCTGTGCTCTGGGGTCAGAGCCCAGCCTGGCAGTCTCTGGGTGGTTTCAGGAGCCAGAGTGCTGTCCTCCAGGCCTCCTGGTGTGCAGTGGGGTGAGGGCTGGGAACCAGACAGCAGTCCCCAGGGCAGAGCTGCTCCTGCCCTGCAGGGTCTCCCCACCTTCCCTCCATGGTGCTGGAGGCAGGGATGACGCCAGCCCTGGGAAGATGAGGGGTGGAGGGGTGGTGGCCGGAGCACCAGCGCCCAGCTCCCTGCCTGTGAGGGGTGATCGCCGAGGCCCTTCTCAACCCCCGTCAGAGCAGGCAGTGGAGCCACGAGCTGAGGCCGGCCCAGAGGGATCTGAGCCCCTCCTAGGAAGGGTGCCCAGGTGGCCTCCCTGAGCACCCCACACCTGGTGCCCTCCCACTGACTGGGCACTGCAAGTGTGTGGGTACTGAAAGGCTCGGGCTCCAGCAGACGCCCTGGCACCTCTGATGGCTCTTGCCAGAGCTGATGGGTGGCCAGGTCCTGGACTCCACCTGTCCTGGCCACTGGCAGCCTCCCTGCTGGCCATCATCCAGGCCCAAGTTCACCCCAAGTCTGGCTTCAGGGGTCAGTGGGCAGGAGATGCTGGTTGTGGGCAGGAGCCTGGGCCCTGGACCAGACGGTGCACATGGCCCCCACCCCAGGGACATGTGCCTGGTGAGTTCAAGGGATGGAGTGTCCTGGGACCTTGAGGGACCTCCAGGCAGTGTCCTGAACATACATCCTGCCCCAACTCGTCACTCAGAGGTGGAGCAGTGTGGCCTGCCCAGAAGAGATGTTGTTGGGATTAAGTTTGTGCTTCCCAGTGACTGAATTCTCCTAAGTCTTGGTGCAGCAGCAGGCCAACCTCTGTTCAGGGAAGTGGCAACCGATCCAGAGAGATTGGGGAGCTCACTGTGGCCACACAGCAGCAGGAAGAGGTGGAATTTGAATTCAAGACACCAAGTATCCTCTGCCACCCAGCCTCTGCACCCACAAGAGTGCACATACGCACACACACTCACACAGTGATTAAACACAGAGCCTTTTAAAGAAACGCCTATCTCAGAAAATGTGAATGCAAATCCATTTTCGTCAAGCTTTGATTGATTTCTCTTCAAGAACTCTTGCATTATGCAGGGGTGGGCTCCGAAGGTCAGCAGGTTTAAATAGAAAGAAGTCCGGGAAAAACACATCAACACCAACCGGCTTCAATCTCAGGAAAAGCACATCAAAAGCTGTGAGTCACTTGGAGGGACCAAGGATGGGAACAGTGTGGGAGCAGCATCTCAGAGCTGGGAGCCTGGCCCAGGCCGGAAGCACTCCGTCCCACATGGAAAGGGACGTGCCCTGGGACCTCCAGGGGTGGCCCGCTCAGGAGTCCAGTTTTCATGGGGCACATTTGGGGATAGTTCACCTAAAAGTGTGGCCCGGGCTTTGCAGGCTCAGGCGGTGACTTCCCAGAGGCTGTATGTTTTCTGCAAGAAGCAGCCTAGCCCCCTCCGCCCTTCTCCGCCCTCCTTCCTCCCGCCCTCCCTCCTCCTCTCCTCCCCTCTGTGACCCTTGATGGGGAGGCTGTGGTTGGCCAATTCTCAGGCTGTTTTCTGAGAATCTGGCAGTGGGCAAGGGGCTAGGACCCTTCCTGAGTGGCACTGTATCACTCGCTCACCGGGCAGCCAACTTGGCTGAGCCCCAGAGAGGTGCAGTGCTTTGCTGCAGCCGCCCCGCAGACGTGCAGGTTCCTTAATCTGGCACCAACCCCTCCCTCTCCCTGTCCCTACTGCTGCCCGCTGTGTCCCTGCAGGTCTGTAGCTGGGCCACCTGACTCGCACCTCCAAGCCTTTGCCCCAGTGTTCCCATCTCTTGCAGGGGGGTGTCAACCCCTCTCCACCCTCTCCAGCACCCCAGAGAGCTCGCACATCTGTGTGGGGCCCAATCAGCTGACCCTGCTCTGTCCCACCATGGCCATTGGCGGGAGTGCCCTGCTCACCTGCCACCAGCCTGAGGCTGACCTCATGCTGTGCCTGCCCAGCTAGAGGCCAGAGCAGGCTCAGGTGGCCATGCTGGCTGACCCTGTGCCCGGAAGACCTCTGAGCAGGGAGGCGGGTGGGGATGACGAGGGCCCATCCTGTGGAGGGACGGGCAAGGCTGCCGGAGAAGGTCACTTGGGAAATTGGCTGGGGACTCTGAGGCCAGTAGGTTGACGTCTGGGGAAGGAGGCCAAGGCCTGGGGGGGGGGGCAAAGACAGTTTAACCCACAGAACCCCCAGCCACATCCCTCCAGCCCTGGAGCTTGCAGCACCCTTAGGAGCCCTCTGGTTTGCATCTGCTGATCTGACGTGGGAGGAGACCCAGAAAAATAACATCCAGATTGTTGTCAGAGCAGCTTTGGCTCCACATTCAGGGCCAGCATATTTTGTCCAGCAAACACCCATAAATTCCTGCCGTCTGGAAACGTGATAATGGTGCTAAGAGAAAGTACCTCTGGGTGGAGGGACCGGCTCCCTGCGGAAAGGCGCAGTCGGCCAACACATTCGCTGTCCTGGATTCTGCTGGGGAGCGGAAGGAGACCTCTGAGTTCTGTGCACCATCATTTAAAAATATTTTAAAACGCGTTCTTCACACCCCGGGCTGTGAATTGTGGGACCCCGGAGAGAAGGCACCTCCAGACTGTAGGCTTTCTGCCCCCCACCCCTTGAGCCCTGTGCTCAGGGCGGGGTCCTGTGCCCTGACTGCACAGTGAGGAGCCGCTCAGCCCACCGCACAGTCTCTGAGGCAGAGCGACTGTGGACCCAGGGTCTGGTCTGCTCCCCTTGGACTCCGCAGGGCCCCTGCTCCCCGTTGACTTTCCTTCTTTCTCAAAGGTCCTGAGCATTTCCCGCCTTCGCTGGAACGGGGCCCAGCTCTTCTGGGCTGCTGTCCATGCCCGAGGGGTCCAAGCCACGCTGGCTCCAGAGCAGGTGTTCCGTCTCAGTGAGACCAGCCGGGGGTCAGGGGCTGGGCTGGCCACACTGCACATCCCGGTGGGTGGAGAGGCTGCTACCTTTGGCTGAAAGCATTTTCTCTGGAAAATCTCACCTTTCTCTTTCCTCCAGAGAAGAGGGCACCGGGAGGCCAGTCTGACCATAAGAGCTTGTCCTTCCCCCTTGGCTTCAGAGGAGTCCTGGGCTGGCAGCCGGAGCCTAGGTCCCTTCCCGTGGCTGCGTCTCTCCTGGACACAGCTCCGGCCAGCACTGAGCCTCAGCCCCACAGTGGTCAGGCCGAGCTCCATGGTGACCAAGGGGCTAACAAAAATTCTGTGGTGAAGCTGAGCCCACACGTGTCCAGTGACAGGCCCTGCAGTGTCCCCCCTGTGCCAGGGACAGGGGTTCCTCCCTGCTGGGTGCCGTGACAGCACTCTGAACTGCTTCTCCAGGCCGCAGCTTCCAGGGGCCTCACCACTGGAGCAGGAAGTGCCCAAGGGACTCAAGGGTGGCCCTCGGCACTGACCTAAACCCTCACTTCAAGGCCCCTCCACAGCCTGGGTCCCCAGGTGTTTCGCGGCATGTCGGTCAGGGTCAGTCCTGCTGCTCACCGCAGGCAGTGGGATGCCCCACGTGGGGACCACCCCATACCTGGGGAGCGTGACGCCTGCAGTGAGGCCCACCTGGCACTTCCTAACCTCAGGCCCCCAGAGGCCCTCTCCTCACTGCTGTGTCTCAGGCAGGTCCACTCAGGGGAGCCTCCCCCCGCCCAGCGTGTTAGCAGAGCTCCACCTGAAGGCCGGCACGGCTGGACGATGGGGAAGGCAAAGGGGCCTGAGACACCACAGAAGTCGCCTCCTCTGGGGCTGCAGAGCCAAGGGAGGAGAGGGGAACAGTCCAAACTCCAGGGAGGGGCCTGGGCCAGGCCTGGACCTCGGGGCCGCCCCTGGGGTTCACTATGGCCAGGCACGGGTGTGGCAGTCCCACCTACACCATCTCACTTAGCTGCTCTGTGGCTCCATGACTGCCAGGGCAGGTACTTGGGGACAGGTCCCACCCGGGGGGCCCACTGGGCAGCACGGCAGGGCCAGCGTGGGCTGGTGTGACTTCAACCCTGGCCCTCAGAGTGGAGGCTGCCAAATTAAAGTGACTGAGGACATGGAGAGCCCCAGGCCCCTGGTCTGCCGGCTGGGAGCTCAAGCACTGAAGAGGCGTCGGTGGCGGAGTGCAGCGCAGCTCCCACCCCAGCAGCAGTGGCACGTGGGGCTGTTCTGAGAAGCACCGCCGCGGGGGGCCCATGTTACAGTAGATACGCTTTTAAATGCATGGCCAGATTCCTGTCCAAGTTACGCGGCCTCACGCGGTCGCTCGGCCCAGCCGTGCCG